TTTATAATGTTGATATAATCCAACTTTTCCTAGTTTTTGTAGTGTTTTGAAAATGAAGAGGTGCTATATTTTATCAAATGCTTTTTTTTAGCCTCTATTGAGAAAATAATCTGATTCTTGTCTTTAAGTCTATTGATATGATGTATTACATTTATTGATTTACGTATGTTGAACCAACCTTGCATCTCTAAGATGAACCCCACTTAATTGAGGTGCACTATCTTTTTAATATGTTTTTGTATGTGATTAGCCAGGATTTTATTGAGAATTTGGGTGTTTATGTTCATCAGGGATATTGGTCTGAAGTTTTCTTTCCTTGATGAGTCCTTGTCTGGTTTTGGTATCAGGATGATGCTAGCCTCATAGAATGAGTTTAGAAGGGTTCCCTCCTTTTCTCTTTTATGGAATTTTTTTTTTTAAGAGAAGGGGGGGGGAATTTTTTTTGAATTTTTTTATTTTTTAGTTCTCAACGGACACAACATCTTTGTTTTTGTTTTTGTTTTGTTTTTTTTTTTTGTATGTGGTGCTGAGGATCAAATCCGGGCCGCACGCATGCCAGGAGAGCATGCTACCGCTTGAGCCACATCCCCAGCCCTTATGGAATAATTTTAAGAGTATTGATATTAGTTCTTCCTGGAAGGTCTTGTAGAACTTGGCTGAGAATCCATCTGGTCCTGGGCTTTTCTTGGTTGGTAGGCTTTTGATGGCATCTTCTGTTTCCTTGCTTGAAACTTATCTGTTTAAATTGTGTATGTGGGCTGGGATTGTGGCTCAGTGCTCGCCTAGCATGGGCGGGACCGGGTTGGATTCTCAGCACCACATAAAAAAATAAAGGCATTGTGTTGTGTCCATCTACACCTAAAAAATCAGTATTAAAAAAAAAAGAGTTTTGAAAATAAATAAAATAAATAAATTGAGTATGTCCTTCTGATTCAGTTTGGGTAGATCATATGTTTCTAGAAGTTGCCAATGTCATTGAGATTTTCTATTTTATTGGTGTATAAATTTTCAAAATGGTTTCTAATTATCTTCTGTATTTTAATAGTGTCCATCGTGATATTTCCTTTTTCATCACAAATTTTAGTATTTTGAATTTTTCTCTTCTTCTCTTTGTTAGCATGGCTAAGAGTCTATCAATTTTATTTATTTTTTCAAAGAAACAACTTTTCATTTTGTCAATTTTTTGAATTGTTTCTTTTGTTTCAATTTTATTGATTTCAGCTCTGATTTTAATCATTTTGTCTTCTACTTTTGGTGTTGATTTTTTTTTTCTAGAGCTTTGCGATGTAATGTTAGGCCATTTATTTGTTGACTTTTTATTCTTTTAATGAATGAGCTCATGCAATGAACTTTTCTCTTAGTACTGCCTTCATAATGTCCCAGAGATTTTGATATGTTGTGTGTTGTTTACCTCTAAGAATTTTTTTTATCTCTTCCCTGATGTCTTCTGCTACCATTGCTTATTCAATATCATATTATTTAGCCTCCAGGTATTAGATAGTTTCTATTTTTTATTTTATCATTGATTTCTAGTTTCATTCCTTTATGATCTGATAGACTACAGGGTAGTATCTCTATTTTTTTTGTATTTGCTGAGAGTTGCTTTGTGGCATAATAAATGATCTATTTAGAGAAGGATTCATATGCTGCTGAGAAGAAGGTGTATTTGCTTGATGATGGATGAAATATATGTCTATTAAGTCTAAATCATTGATTGTATTCTTGAATCCTATAATTTGTTTAGTTTTTGTTTAGAAGATCTATCCAATGATGAGAGAGGTGTGTTGAAGTCATCCAGTATCACTGTGTTGTGATTTATTTGCTTCTTGAAATTGAGAAGGGTTTGTTTGATATACGTAGAACCTCCATTGTTTGGGGCATAGATATTTATGATTACTATGTCTTGTTGATGTGTGGTTCTCTCAAGCAGTATGAGATGTCCTTCTTCATCTCTTCTGACTAACTTTGATTTGAAGCCCACTTTATCTGATTTGAGGATAGAAACCCCTGCTTATTTATGTGGCCCATGTGAGTGATATGTTTTTTCCCAACCTTTCACCTTCAGTCTATGGTTGTCTTTTCCTATGAGATGAGTCTCTTGAAAGCAGAATATTGTTGGGTGTATTTTTTCAAAATTTAATCTGCTGTTCTCTGTCTTTTAATTGATGAGTTTGGGCCATTAACATTCAGGGTTATTATTGAGTCATGGTTTGTATTCCCAGTCATTTTGGTTTATTTTTGATTTTTTTTTTTTTTTAGAGAGAGAGAGAGAGAGAGAGAGAGAGAGAGAGAGAGAGAGAATTTTTTAATATTTATTTCTTAGTTTTCGGCGGACACAACATCTTTGTATGTGGTGCTAAGGATCGAACCCGGGCCACACGCATGCCAGGCGAGCGCGCTACCGCTTGAGCCACACCCCCATTTTTTGATTTTTAACTTGAGTTGGTTTCTCCTTTGATTGGATTTTTCCTTAGTGTAGTTCCTCCCTTTGCTGATTTTCACTGTTGTTTTTTATTTCCTCCTCATGGAATATTTTGCCAAGAATATTCTGTAGTGCAAGCTTTCTTTTTTTTAAAATATTTATTTTTAAGTTTTAGGTGGACACAATATCTTTTATTTTACATTTATTGTGGTGCTGAGGATCGAACCCTGAGCCTCATGCATGCTAGGTGAGCGCTCTACCACTGAGCCACAACCTGTAGTGCAGGCTTTCATGTTGTAAATTCTTTTAATTTCTGTTTATTATGGAAGGTTTTTATTTTATCATCAAATCTGAAGCTTAATTTTGCCGGATAAAAGATTCTTGATTGGCATCCATTTTCTTTCAGTGCTTGATATACGTTGTTCCACAACCTCCTGGCTTTGAGGGTCTGGGTTGAAAAATTTGCTGAGATCCAAATTGATTTCCCTCTATATGTAATCTGAAACTTTTCTCTTGTGGCTTTTAAAACTCTGTCCTTATTTGGCATTTTCATTATAAGGTGCCTTGGTGTGGATCTGTTGTAATTTTGTACATTTGGGGTCCTGTAAGCCTCTTGTATTTGATTTTCCAACTCATTCTCCATGTTTGATATTATTTCATTGCAGACATTGGCCATTCCTTTGGTTTGTATCTCTGTGCCTTCCTCTAATTCTTAGATTTGGTCTTTTCATGTTGTCCCATAATTCTTGGAGATTCTATTCATGGCTTCTCACCTTCCTCACTGTGTGGTCAATTTTATTTTCAAGATTATATATTTTGTCTAAATTGCCTGAGGTTCTGTCTTCCCAGTGATCTAGTCGGTTGTTGATGCTTTCTATTGAATTTTTTCTTTGGTTTATTGTTTTCTTCATTTCAAGGATTTCTTTTTTTTTTTTTTTTCAGAGCTTCTATCTCTTTCTTGAAGTAATCTTTTTTGCTACCTATGTTTCCTCTTGTATCTCTTTGTTGGAGCAGTCAGTTGTTGCCTCTCTTAATTCATTCTTTGCTTCTCAAATCATTTTTTAGGTGCACTCTGAACTCCTTCTCTGACATTTCATCTACTGTGCTGTCAGTGGCATCTATTATTGTGTCAGCTTAGTGTGTTTCACGCACTGTCTTCCCTGGTTTCTTCGCATGGTCCATGTGTCTTCCTCTCTAGCAGTGTGCACTCGAGGTGTTACAGTCTCTACCTTATAATCTTGTAGTGTCCCTGCAGGTTACCAATATCTTGCCTGCAGGAACCTGAAAGATGGTCTTATAGGTCCTGGTTGTTGTCACTAGATGGAAGCCAGAGGGGAAAACCACCCCACGTGTTGGTAAATGGACCACAGCACATCTGGTCTGAGGTTGCTTTCCTCCTACTAGTGGCGGGTCAGGGTTGCTCTTCTCCTACCTCACTGTAGGCTGGTGTGTGTGTGTGTGTGTGTGTGTGTGTGTGTGTGTGAGAGAGAGAGAGAGAGAGAGAGAGAGAAAAGATGGTCTCTGTTCCTCCTCCTTCTATACAGGGGCCAGCTGGGGTCATGGTCATCTGCTTCTCCCTGGATACATTTTTTTTTTTTTGGTTAATATTTTTTTTTAGTTGTAGGTGGACACAATGCCTTTATTTTTATTTATTTATTTGTTTGTTTGTTTATAGTTGTAGATGGATATGATACCTTTATTTTATTTTTATGTGGTGCCAGGGATCAATCCCAGTGCCTCATGCATGCTAGGCAAGCACTGTACCACTGAGCCACAACCCCGGCCCCTATTTATTTATTTTTATGTGGTGCTGAGGATCAACCCAGTGCGTCAACTGTGCTAGGCGAGTACTCTACCACTAAGCCACAACCCCAGTCCCCCTGGACGGATTTTTACAGTAGAGAATCCTTGGTTTGCATGCCCCAGGAAACTGGTCCACCCCAGCCCTGTCATTCAGAGTAGAGAGAGGTCTGTTGAAGGAATGGATTTATAGAGTAGCTACTTTATTTCCACTACCGTAATCCTTAATTGACAAATATGAATGCATCTTTAAGGATCAGGAGAATTTTAAAGAAAAGCATCCACCAGTATGAAATGGAACAAGAAGAAAACAAAAACCAAACCAAAACAAAAAAAATAATTAGCCCTATCTGAGAAATAAATAATTCAGGAAACATGCACATAAGGCCATGGGGGGAAAATTTTTCTGCATCCCTATGGTGTCTTTAACATGTTCTCCCATCCTCTGTGTTTGTGATTCTGTTCACTTGTAACTGAATCTAGAAGCCTAATCAGGTTCAAGTTTAATTTTTTTGGAGGGGAAGACTCATATAAAGGTCGGGGTATATTCTCTCAAGAGAAACATTGACCAGCTGTCTCCTTTTGTCATGTTAGTAGTAACTGATACTTAATGCATAAATTTAATTCATACCTATGAGCTTGAATTGATTTAACATAGCTTCAAAGAAATTAATTTTCAAAAGAAGTGAATACATGCATACTGGCATAGTAGGTATAAATGAAAAGAGCAAAGTTTATGTGAATTCTGAAATGATATCAACCCTTCCCTCTGTTACAGCAATTGAGCCAGTTTTGGTATAGTCAGGAAACTGCTTTACGACTTGCACAAGAGGTGATTGCTGCTGCTGGAGAAGGTGGCAGGTGAGATTCAAAATTAGTTTCCTTTTTGTCTTCTCTAAATGAATCTGAGGCACATCCCACACAATGGCATGAAAACTGGTTATCATGCTTATGAACCCTAAATGGATCTATAAATTAATATTTTGAACGTTCTTCCTAGATGAGAGATGGTTTGTGAGAAGTTTATACTATAATATGCAAATATTATGGTTTGCAGCACAAATTAAGAACTGCTTCAACACTGAGTTTAGGGATGCATTCAGAAATCTATTTTTCATGTCATTTCTAATCTCTCTCACTTTTTTTTTTTTTTGTGTGTGTGTATGTGTGTGGTTGTACTAGAGATTAAACCTGGGATCTAGCACATGCTAGACAAATGTGATGTTCTACTACTAAACTATATTCCCAGCCTTTATTCCTTTTTTTTGGCGGTTCTGGGGATTGAACACAGGGTCTTGTGCATGCAAGTCAAGTACTCTACTAACTGAGCTATATCCTCAGCCCACTATTCTTTATATTGACATTTTCTAACCAATTTCTTTCCTTTATATGTCTAGAGTTTGCTTTAAAAGAGAATACCTTGGAGGCTGGGGGTATAGCTCAGTGGTAGAGCACTTGCTTAGGCCCTGAGTTTGATTCCCCAGCACAAAAAGAGAGAGAAAGAGAGACAGAGAAATCATAATGTTTGGTTCTTTTGAACTTTTATGAATATAGGTTTTCTTTTTTGTTAATTTGGTTTTTATTTTTGTCAAAGGTTTTCATGCATATAATTTTTGGGGGAGGGGGTACCAGGGATTGAACTCAGGGGCACTCAACCACTGAGCCACATTCCCAGCCGTATTTGTATTTTATCTAGAGACAGGGTCTTACTGAGTTGCTTAGTGCCTCGCCATTGCTGAGGCCAGCTTTGAACTCTGCAATCCTCCTATCTCAGCCTCCCAAGCTCCTGGGATTACAGGCATGTGCCTTTGTGCCCAACGTCATGCATGTAATTTAAAGGGTCAAATGTTTCTAAAAGGTTTATTCAGAAAAACATCCATTACTAACTTCCCTCATGCCTGCCCCCTACTTTCAGCTTCTTTTCAGTTGATTCTTTTGGTATTTACAGTCAGATTTCTGAGTGATATGTTTATATTGCTACTTTGTGATTTGTCATTTTTAGACATTTACTATCATTCCCCCTTATCTGTAGGGGGATCTGTTCCAAGATCCCAGTGGGTACCTGAAACCACAGGTAGTATGAAACTCTTTATACACTATGTTGTTCCATACATACATTCTTTTTTTTAACTATAGTAGTTTTATATATATATAAAGTTGTATATGGACACAATATCTTTATTTTGTTTATTTATTTTTATGTGGTGCTGAGGATCTAACCCAGTGCCTCACACATGCAAGGCAAGCACTCTACATCGGGCACAGTAATAGATCAACAATAGCAACTGAAAGTTATTTAAAATTTATGAACAACTTCTGGAATTTTCCATTTAATGTTTTAGAATTATATCAGTTACAGATTACTGAAACTTCAGAAAGCAAAATCACAGTTAAGGGGGTACTTCTGTCTTTCTTAAGTTTTCACCGTAGAGGATTTAGCTCTTTTTATGCTCTACCATAATCACATAACATGCATGCTTTCTGTCCATATTCCCAATAGTCCTATCTTAATTTTGGTTAGGACCAGTGAAAGGAAAGTGAGAAAACAAGAGACAGGCAAGCAAGAAATGAAGGACGGAGACCAGGCAGAGAGCCACAGGAAAGTTTATTGTCAAAGCCAACAAATAAAGGCCATCTCTCTATAGAGAAGAGAGAGAGGCCCCAAGATGTTCGGGTGCTCAGCTTTTGTGGGTTAGGGGTTTGGAGTTGTGGTTGTGGCTCTATGGGATAGGATCAGGGGTGCTTGCGTCAGAGCTAGGCGGTGGGGTATAGCATGGGATTGGCTTAGGTCGATGGTACATGGGGCTTTCCAGAGCAAAGGAGTCGTGTCCTTCTGGGATTGACTTAGGGTTGTGGTACCATGTCTCATAAGATGGCAGTTAACATTTAAGATGGCTGCTCAGATGTTAAATCAGTACCCTATAACTGGTTCATGTTGCTGTGGCTGTATGGTCTTGTTTATAGTTAAGACTTCAATTTTCCTCTTTTCTACAATTTTTATTTTCTATGCAGATAATAATTCTCTTATTTTTATGTATTCTGAATCCATATTATTAATTAACTTCCAAATTTTCTATCTAAATCTCTTATCAGTCAGTACAAACATGTTTTGTTTTGTTTTGTTTTTTTACTTTTAAAATAAAGTTTATTTTGCATATTTGAGGCTTATAACATGTTCTGGGATACATATAGATAGAATAGTTGCTGTGATGAGGCAGATTTCCAAAACATACTACATATTACATATTTCCCCCAGTTTTTCATTTGCTTTTTATTTGTTAACAATGTTTCTGATGTGAACTTTTAAAAAATGTTTTATTTTATTTTTAAAAATTATTGTACTAGTTTATGGGGTAAGGTATGATAATTATATATATGTGTGTGATAGAGAGTTCTCTCTCTCTCTCTCTCTCTCTCTCTCTCTCTCTCTCTATATATATATATATATATATATATATATATATATATATATCAGGATAGTTAGTATTTCCATAAGCAATTTTTATAATTTTTTGAATAACATGTAATAATTTTACATAGTTGTTGGGTACAGTGAGATTTTTTTTTTCAATTTTTAAATTTGTTTTAATTAGTTATACATGACAGTATGATGAATTTATGCACTTTAATATATCATACATAGATGGGATATAATTTCTCATTCTTCTGAGTGTACATGTTACAGAATCATATTGGTCATGTAGTCATACATATACATACAGTAATAATGTCTGTTTCATTCTACTATCTTTCCTATCCCCATATCCCCTCCCCTCCCATCACTTCCTACTCCTAATCTGAGGTAACATTATTCTTCCCTAGTATTCCCCCTGCATTACTGTGAATTAGCATCCACATCAGCCTAATACAAAAAACAGACAAAGACACATTAAGGAAAGAAAACTTCAGACCAATATCCCTGATGAACATAGATGTAAAAATTCTCAATAAAATTCTGGCAAATTGCATACAAAAGCATATTTAAAAGATAGCGCACCACGATCAAGGAGGATTCTTCCCAGGAATGCAGGGTTGGTTCAACATATGGAAATCAATATTAATTCATCATTCTTAAAAACAAGAATCATATGATCATCTCAATAGATGCACAAAAAAGCATTTGAAAAAATACAACACACCTTCATGTTCAAAACTCTAGAAAAACTAGGGATAGTAGGAAATACCTCAATGTTATAAGAGCTATATATGCTAAACTCAAGGCCAGCATCATTCTAAATGGAGAAAAACTGAAAGCATTTTCTCGAAAAACTAGAATAAGACAAGGATATCCTCTTTCACCACTTCTATTTGACATCATCCTTGAAACTCAAGCCAGAACATTTAGACAAAAGAAAGAAATTAAAGGGATACCAATAGGTAAAGAAGAACTCAAACTACCACTATTTGCTGATGACATGATTCTATACCTAGAAGATCAAAAAAATTCCACTAGAAAACTTTTAGAACTAATAAATTAATTCAGCAAAGTAGCAGGATATAAAATCAATACCCATAAATCAAATGCATTTCTATACATCAGCGATAAGTCCACTGAAAGAGAAATTAAGAAAACTATTCCATTCACAATAGCCTCAAAAAAAAAAAAAATGAGACTTAATCTAACAAAAGAGGTGAAAAACCTCTACAGTGAAAACTACAGAAAGAAATTGAAGAAAACCTCAGAAGATGGAAAGATCTCTGATGTTCCTGGTTAGGCAGAATTAATATTGTCAAAATGGTCATACTACCAAAAGCTTTATATAGATTCAATGTAATTCCTATTAAAATCCCAATGACAGTCTTAGAAATCGAAGTAGAAAAAGCAATCATAAAATTTATTTGGAAAAATAAGAGACCCAGAATAGCTAAAGCAATCCTTAGCAAGAAAAGTGAAGCAGGAGGCATAATAATACCAGACCTTAAACTATCCTACAGAGCTATAGTAACAAAACCAGCATGGTATTGGCACCAAAATAGACTGGTAGCCCAATGGTACAGAATAGAGGACACAGAGACAAACCCACATAAATACGGTTAACCTTCCAGAGTAGCTGGGATTACAGGTGTGTACTATTGTACCAGATGTTATGGTTTGGATCTGGAATCCTCCAGTCTTGTGTGTTGAAGGCCTTGTTCCTAATGCAGTAATATTAGTAGTTGGGTATTTGGGGAAGTGAATGCATCATAAGAGCTCTAACTTCATCAGTGGATCAATTCACTGATGGATTAATAATTTACATAGACTTTTGGGAGGCGGTATAAATTGTAGGAGGTGGGGCATAGTTGGAAGAAGTGGGTCCCTGAGGCATACCCTTGGGGACTATATCTTGTCCCTAATGCCTTCCTTCTCTCTTGCTCTTGCTCTCTCACTCTCTTTGCTTCCCAGCTGCCATGAGCTGACCGTTTCCTCTGTCACACCTTCTTCCATGATGTTCTGCCTTACTTCAGGCCCAACGTAGTGGAGCCAGCCAACCATGGACTGAAACCTTTAAACTGTGAGCCGAAATCTTTCCTTCTCTAAGTTATTTTTCTCAGGTGTTTGTCATAGCAAGAAAAAGCTAATGACTACACCTGGCTTCTCCCCTAACACTTGGTTGTGATAGTTTTTCTGGGTATTTAAATCTAGATTTGGAAGGAATTGCTCCATTTTCTCCAAGCTTCCATTGTTTCTGTTGAGAAAGCCAATAACACTCTGATTTCTTGTAAGAAACCTGTTTGGGTTTTTTTGTTTTGTTTTGTTTTTGTTTTTTCGGTTCTTCCCCCCTATAGGCTTAGGGTTTTCTTTTCTTAATCTTTGGTACTCAGAGTAGTTTTTTTGGTTTTTGCCACTTTTATCTACTGCATTGAACACTAAGAAATCCTTTCTTTTTTTTAACTCACGTCCTTCAGTTTGGGAAAGAAATTGTCTTAAATTCTTTCTTTGATTCCTTCACCCGTGGTTTTCTTTTTCTTTCTTTTCTTTCTTTTTTTTTTTTTCTGTTCCATTTCTGGAACTTCTGTTAATTGAATATGGACTCTAATTTTCTCATTTTCTGTCTGTTGTCTCTTTATCCAGCTTTCTGAGAGAATTCCTCAACTTTATTGTCTAACTATTCTATTGAGTTTGTCATATATACTATCATATTTGTAATTGTATATAGCTCTTTTTTTGACCTTTGAATATTCATTTACTATTGTATCTTGTTCATCCCTCTTAGGAATATTATTAGTTCTGTAACTAATTTATAACATCAGGATCAGGATGAGCTATTTCCTAGAGAGTCCCTAGTGTCAGTGTGTATAGCATTTTCCTATAATTTATAAACATTTTCTTTTCCCTGCATAGTTTCTGTTTACTCTGAAATGCTTTTATCTATCTAACCTCAGATACTTGTCTAATATTGGTGCTTCAAATGTCTGTTGACCCTCAGCTGTCCATTCGTATTTAAGCATGGGGCACCCAAAAGCTGGAAGATTTGACACGTGGGTGTTCCTTATTTACTTTATTGTTATTGTTGTTTGGTTTGGTTTGGGGGTTAGCGCTAGGGATTGGACCCAGGACTTCACATGTGCTAAGCATATGCTCTACCACTGATCTACACCCCCAGCCCTACATTATCTACTTTGGTCTCTATAGTTGGAGGATCAGGATGAGCTATTTCCTAGAGAGCCCCTACCTAGTGTCAATGTGTACAGCATTTTCCTATAGGCTGGTCAGAGATCTAGGGAAGATTCTCTTAATTCTTCCCTGGAAGTTATGCATCCTTCAATGACTGAAAGAAGAGGAAGTCTCAATATCCATTGAGTTTAATGTATTTCTTCTAACTTCCTATTCTTTTGTTTTGTTTTGCTTTGCTTTTTTTTTTTTTTTCTTTTCAATGCCAGAAATGGAACCCAGAACGTTAGCCTGTTAGGCAAGTTCCCTGTCACTGAGCTAAACACCCAGTTCCCTTTTATTTCCACATAGAACCACATCATCAGTTGTGGTTATCATCCCTCTCTTGAGCATGCCCCAATCCAAAGAACATTCCTCCAGTTTCTGCCAGTTGTGGAAAGCATATGCTCTAAGACATGGGTGTGGAAAAGAATCCTGGGGATGAATTACTTCTTAAATAGATACTTTACCAGTCATGGTGCAGTCCTGTAATCCCAGCTACTTGGGAGGCTGAGGCAGAAGGACTACAAGTTCAAGACCAGCCTGGGTAACATAATAAGACCCTGTCTTAAAATAAAATAAAAAAGCCTGGGACAGAGAGAGAGAGAGAAAGGGAGAGCCTTGAAAGCAACTTTTTGTTTTTTTCTGAAAGGTGACATCAGTGTTTCTAGGTACTAAGTCATAATTTTAAACATGAATGATAGTAAAGATAATTTATTGATCACTGTGTACCCTCTCTCATAAGTGCTTTACCAACATCATTTTAGTCCTTTCCTCTCTGTGGAGTCATTATTTTTATGCTCTCCATTCTAAAGACAGACAACAAGGCTGGAGAAATTCAGTCATTTGCAAAAGGTCACCCAGTGGTTAGCTGGCTCATCAGGTGCTACCTGATAACCTTCACTATCTTTTGCCAACTTCTCCAGCCTCTCCGGTCTCATTCCATCTTGCAACTTGGTCCACTGCCCTGCCTGAAGTGCAGGGAAGACCTGCTCAAGCAAGCACTGAGATTTTGTTTGCCCGGAAATAGCTTTATTTCTCCTTTCTCAGAAAAATTTTGCATTGTATGCAAGCTGGGTGTAATGGTGCACACCTGCAACCCCAGCAACTTGGGAGGTTGAGGCAAGAGGATAATGAGTTTGAAGCCAGCCTTGGCAACTTAGCAAATCCTGTCTCAAAATAAAAAATAGAAAGGGCTAGGGGTGTAGTTCAGTGAAAGGAAGGGAGGTTGGGAGGGGAATGGAGGGAGGGAGGAATTTCCATTGTGCATACCTGATCCTGAATGTTGCAGTTTGTTCTTTCAGCGAAGTAGAGATAGAATTGCGCTGTCCCTGTGTCCTCCCAGCCCTGTGCAGAAGTGCTGAGCTGGGAGGGCCCTGTCCCCACCAGCTGGCTAGGACACACGTTTTGACCTCACCAGCCTTTACTATCCCATACTCATGAAATCATGTTTTACTCTTCTCTGTTCCTTGAATAGATCTTGGTGATCAGTCCTAATCAGCATACAGAGGTCTATTTCAGTCTTTTTAAAGTGGCTACCATGAAATAAACATACCATAGTCAAGTCAGCATTTCAATATTTAGGTAACCCCTGGATTTTTCAGCAATTGGAGTTAAAAGTTATCTCTTGGAAAACTACCCATTCATATAAACTGTGCACTGCTTGTAATGAAATAGGGTCTTTGAGCTAGGAACGTAGCTTAGTGTGCCTAGCATGCACAAAGCCCTGCATTTGATCTCAAGCAAAAAAGAATACATTCTTTGATTTTCTTACATACACAAAAAAAGATGCAAACATTCGGAGTAGTTTGTCTGCAATAAGACCTCACTTTATTATATATTTTTGGAAAACTGGAGGTATTTAGGGAATCTACTTGGGATTTTTCTTGCAAGATCATGAATATTACAAAATAACTTCAAAATATCTAGTTTGGACTAAAAGTATTTGAAAGAAGTATTAAAAACTCAACATGAAAACACTTGGTGAATTTAGGCTTTGGGTTAACTACATCTAATTTTTGTCATAATGTGTTCCTGATGTTTTTAACATTTTTTCTATAAAAGTACATTTATTATTTCATAACCTCAAATTATGAGTTACGTATTTTTAAATACCAAATTCTTTAAAAGTGAGACTATATAATGTTTTTCTCAAAACTTTACTAATCATTAGCTTGCACTATTATTTGATTCAAGAAAATCTAAACACAAGGACCCATTATCTGGGGGAAAGTAGTTGTTATTTAGCACCATTAAAGATCTCTCACAGTGTATTCATTTTGTATTGTAGAATTGCGTGCGTGAGTGCCCCCAGTGTTTATCAGAAACTCCGAGAACTACACAGAGAAGACTTCTCTATATACATCTTTGAATATGACAAAAGATTCGCCATGTATGGAGAAGAATTTATCTTCTATGATTATAATAATCCACTGGATTTACCTGAAAAAATTGCTGCACATAGTTTTGACATTGTAATAGCAGATCCTCCCTATCTTTCTGAGGAATGTCTCAGGAAGACATCCGAAACCATCAAGTACCTGACAAAGGGCAAGATTCTGCTATGCACAGGTAGGTACCACATTTTGGGTCTCATGTATGCTGATGACAGTGGATAGTCAAGTCTTGGGTTCCAAGAGCTGGAAGAGATCTTAGAACTCAGATCCTTGGAACTGAATCTTAGAACTTACCATGTGACCTTAAACAAGTTATTTAACCTCTCTGTGTCCTGGGTTTCTGATCTATAAACTGAAACTGATAATAAATACTACTATGCTCTGAATGTGGAGGGGAAGAAAGGGCAAGAATCAGGATTCTTCTGTTTTCTGGCTGGTGCTCTCTGCAACATGGGAGTGTTGGGAGAGGCACTTGGGCGAGATGGACCACAGGGCAAGGAGTAGGCTGGGAGGGAAACAGGAGAGGTGGGCAAACAGGTGGTGCATGTTCATTCATAGGCTCTGTAAGATCATATACTACCAAAAAGAAGTTCTTGACTCAACCGGGAAGGCCTGGTAGTTCTTTTTGCTTTCCTCGTCTTCCTTTATAAATAGAATCCACTTCTGTTTCTAAGTGTCCACGCTTTGCAGAAATAGGAAGATTACTTATTAACTAAAAAAGAAATGGAAAAAGTAGATAATTTATTAAAATGTCAGAGAAGGTAAAAGGGGACATAAAGAATGGACCCCCACTCTCTGTGTTAGTTGTTTCAAGTGTTTTAGTCTAGAATCTGCCCCACAGCCATGATCCGTCCCCTCTCCTGGTTGGCATTTCACTCTGTTTCATTGGATCTGTTCTCCTCAGGTGCCATCATGGAAGAACAGGCAGCGCAACTCCTGGATGTGAGGATGTGCAAGTTTATTCCAGAACACACACGGAACTTGGCAAATGAGTTCCGCTGCTATGTGAATTATGATTCTGGACTGGACTAAGGAAACTTTTTATTTTCTTAGTCAATTGAAAAGCTATAACCTCTTCTCCCACTCCCCCCAAACTGGGGCTGTCCTGGCCTAATTTTCAGAATAAAGGAGAAAACTGTCATTATTGTTTCCTTAATGAGGGCATCCCTGGAGTTTGGAATTCTTCGGCCAGTCAAATCCATGGAATTAGAGTTGAAAGAAGTCTTAAAACCTGTCTAATGCATTCCTCATTTGACGACATATGAGGACAACTTGCTGGCTTCCCCAAGCCTCTTGAGGTGAACAGGATATTGGTCTCTGCTTTGGGCCAGGGGTGCCTTAAAGCGGGCTCCTTCTGACCAGCAGTGGATAGAGGGTGCTTCTAGTGGTTGGCATGCAGCATCCTTGGTCTTGTGAGAGCGCTTGACATCCTGCTCCAGCCACCCAGGGAGGCTTGACTTCCCTCCATGAAACCAGTTGATAATCCAAGGAACCAATTTTTGAGTGCCTCTTGTATTTTTCCTCCTCTTCCCAGTTTGGGAGGGGTGACTTGAAGGTGTCTCAGGTGCCCTCTGCAGTGGCTGAGCCTCAGCATGCTCACTCCAAACTGCCTGAAGAAGTCAGTTCCACCTGTGAACCAGACATTGTTACCAAGAAACAGCTGGGGACTGCACTAGATTCTTATTGTTCAAAAAATATTTCTGATACATCTATACCCCAGAAGGCTGCATGGTAATCAAAAGGAGTGGACCATTGATATCTATAAGTTGGATGGATCTTAAAGACATCATGCTGGGTGAAAAAAGCCAAGTCCCAAAAGTCACATGCTATAGGTTTCCAGTTATCTAACGTTCTCCAATGGAGAACAGATGGGGGAGGGGGGCTGTGGGGAGGGGCACGGCCCAAAGGGAAGTTCTCTGTGGTCCTGGATTGTTTTGTGTCTTGTCTGTGGCTAGGGTTTCAGATGCACAAATGAGTATGTAAAACAAAATGTGAACTTGGAATAGAGAATGGGGTCTGTGGTTGTACTGGCCTTGGTTTCCTGGTTATGACATTATGCTGCAGGGGGGGAAACTGGGTAAAGGGTACACACCTCTCTGGTAATATTGCAATTTCTTGGAGATCTATAATCATTTCAAGATACTTTCCCCCAAATCAACATTGTCTCTCTGGGAAAGGGTTATTCCCACCTCATATGACTTGCTTTGGCTGACTGAATGTGAAAGGAAGTGACACGTGTCACTTCTGAATAAAGCTCTGCTTCCGACAGTGACCAGCAGCATTCCAGAGAGAAGCTGCTCTGGCTACGTAGTCCTCAAGGGTGGCAGGGCCATAGCCAACATGCAGGGGACATGAGGAACAGTGAGAAATGAGCTTTTGCTGTTGACCGTCAGACTGTGGGACTTGTGACTCACTGGAGCTAAACCTGTCCTATCCTGACTGATCCAGAGAGGAGGGGCTGGGCTTGTGAACCCCAGGGGAACTGGGGGAACTGCTCTTGTTTTTTCTCAGAACTCAGTAATCATACTTCCAGACAACTTTTAATTTAATAATTTATTTTTATGAGACATTGATTTTTATCAGCACCTGACACATTATTTAATAAATGTTTTTTTTTAAAAAATCACTCCTTCCCAGGCATGGTGGCACATGCCTGTGATCCCAGCGGCTCAGGAGGCTAAGACTGGAGGATTGAGAATTCAAAGCCAGCCTCAGCAACAGCGAGGTGCTAAGCAACTCAGTGAGGCCCAGTCCCTAATAAAATACAAAACAGGGCTGGGGATGTGGCGCAGTGGTTGAGTGCCCCTGAGTTTAAAAAAAAAAAAAAAATCCACCTTTCCTTATGAATTGGTATGCTAAAAATCGCCTAGGCCAGTGACAAATTATGTATAGAAATGAAATGTTCAGCTTACAAATTGCAGACAAGTAACAACCTAGAAATCACAGAATTTTGACCTATAAGTCAGTCATTTAGTTGAAGAGAAACCTTATTTCTTTTCCAGAGGAGAGAGAGAGGGAAAGGGAAAGGCTTAATTCATTAAAAAATTTATACAAGTTAGAAGGCTTACAAAATGAAGTAATGGCATTTTTTGTTTAATAAGCAGCCAAAGTGTGTTTCACAGCTTTGGACCCCTGATACGACTTCAATTATAGCAAATCTGTGCTCAGTACAATCCACTTCTGGATTTCATAAAAAGTCTGCAGCTATACCTTTTTGACCTTTAAAACAAAACAAAACAAAACAACCATTAGGCCTGGTGTGTTCCTCCCAGTCTGCCGGATTAGGCGGTGGAGGCACCCAGACACCAGCAATCAACATATACCCTCAGGAGGCTCCTGGCCCCTTATGCTCCAAGAACTTAAAAGATTGAAAAGTTTTTTGTTTTTGTTTTTTTTTTTATATTTTTAGTTGTAGATGGACACAATGCCTTTAATTTGTTTATTTTTATGTGATGGTGATGATCAAACCCAGTGTCTCACACATGGCTAGGCAAGTGCTCTACCACAGAGCTACAATCCCAGCCCTGAAAAGTATTTTAATAGAGATTTTTGTCAGTCACAGGTTTGTACTGAGAGACCAAGTGATGAACCCATGAGTGAGAAAGAATAGTTTCACTTTTGCTAACAGAATCTAAATAACTACTTGGCTGTATATTTGGAGCAGTGAGGTGCCTAGAAAGTTAAGAGCAAACGTAATGCCCAGGGCGGCTCCTTTCTTTTTGGCAGGACAGGGGATTAATGAGCCCAGGGGTGCTTTACCACTGAACCACAGCCCTAGCTCATTTTTATTTTTTATTTTGAGGCAGGGTCTCCCTAAGTTGCCCAGGCTGGCCTCAAATTTGGATCCTCCTCCCTCAGCCTCCTGAATCTGTGGGATTATGCACAGGGAACTTTAAGACCTCATTTCAGATAGGAGTTCCATGTTCTTTCTCTCTCCATTCGTTTCTAAAATCAGAGCTCGAGCCAGTTACTAAAAATGATCCTATTTTTTTCCTCTTTGCTGAAAGTGATGGAGTGAAATGGGATATTCAGGTAACTGGCCCCCCTATATGGAACTGTTGGTATTTGAAAAATATATTTTATTTAGTATTCCCAAATGATTGTTTTAACACAACAAGCATACAATAGAAACAGTAATCTGTCCTCCAATGGATGCCTGAAAACTCAGATGGTATCAAGATCCATATTTTTTTTTCCCGTACTTACATACCTATGACAAAGTTTATCAATTAGGCACAGTAAGAGATTAAGAATAATAATAAAACAATTATAACAATACACAGTAATAAGACGGCCACCTCACTACACTTATACTCTGGGTTTTTTTGTTTTGTTTTACTTTTTTTTTGGTATGAGGCCAGGTGTCACGATATTGTCCGGGCTGGCCCTAAACTCCTATGCCAGGTGATCCTCTTGCCTCAGCTCTCTGGTAACTGGGACTATAGTTACTACTTCCTGCCCTATCTGACTTCAGCTTTGTTATTAAGCAAAATAAGGTTTATTGAAACATCAGCACAGCAATACCATAGCAGTTCATCTGATAACCAAGATCCAGATAGTCACTAAGTGACGCACAGATGGATAGTATATGTAGGTGGATACACTGGACAAGGGGATGATTCAGGTCTCTGGCTGGATGGAGTGAGACACTATAAGATCTCATGACAGCATTTAGAACAATACACAATTTAAACTTATGAATTCTTTCTGGAAATTTTCATTTAATATTTTCAGACCATGGTTGACCAAAGAGAACTGAAACCAAAGGTAAGGGAGGGCTATTATCCTATCAGTTGGAAGAGATCTTTAGTAAACAGCAAAGTACCTCTATTCCAAGGGGTATCCTAAAATCCTCAAGATAGAGGCTGGGGATGTGGCTCAGTGGTAGCGCACTTGCCTATCCTGTGTGAGGCTCTGGGTTCAACCCTCAGCACCACATAAAAATGAACAAATAAATAAATAAAATAAAGGTATTGTATCCATTAACAGCTTAAAAACATACTTTAAAAAAATCTTCAAGATAGAATTTATTTGAAGGGAACATTCACTGTGGCACTTTCTGGGAGGAGGGGAAGAAGCTATTGAAATGTACAGTATCCAGCCGGGCTCCCCCACAGAGCCAAGGAATGAGTGGTACCTGAGCAGATGAGTGCAGCTGTGTTACCTGGGTGAGATAAGATTGGGTGGGGAAGGAAGCAAAGATTGTGGCAGAGGGAAGCAAAGTTTCACTGAACTTTAGCTGGCAATTTCTCCAACCAGTTTTCTCTATTTGATAAAACACAGTATTCCAACCTCCCCCCAAAAAACATTAGTTTTAACAAGAGACTAAAACTGTCATTGTTCATTGAAACAGCATGTCCCCATTCTTAGTCACCAGTCTATTTCAACTTGCCTTATCTAATTGCTGCTTCCTGGTGAAAGTACTAAAGATTTCATTTTAAACATCTTTTATACAAAAACAAAATGAGTCATTCAAAGTGTTAGATACCTGCTCAAGCAATCCATTTAAAATAAAGGATTTGTTTGATGTTTGTTTTATTCATTTATTTATTTATTTGTGGTACTGGAGACTGAACAAGAAGCACTCTATCTCTAAGCCACATTTCCTGCCCTCCTTTTTGTTTGTTTTTTTTTAGTTGTAAATGAACACAATACCTGTATTTTATTTATTTACTTATTTTCATGCGGTGCTGAGGATCAAACCCGGTGCCTCACACATGCTAGGCAAGCGTTCTACCACTGAGCTTCAACTGCAGCACCATCCCCTGCCCTTTTTATTTTGAAACAGAGTCTTGCTAAGCTTCTGAGGCTGGCCTCAAACTTGTGGTCCTCCTTCCTCGGTCCTTCCTCAGAAGAAAAGTTTATTTGAGGGCTCATGGTTCCAGAAGTCTCAGTACATAGGTAGCTGGCTCCATTCCTCAGGTCTTTAGGTCAGGCTGAACATCATGGCAGAAGAGTATGGCAGAGAGAAGCAGCTCACATGATCATCAGGCAGCAGAGAGAGAGACTCCACTCACCAGGTACAAAATATATACCTCAATGCCCACTTCCTCCAGTCACACCCTTTTGGTCTTCAGTTACCACTCAGTTAAATCCCTACCAGGATTAATTCACGGATTGGGTTAAGATTCTCACAATCTAATCATTTCTCCTCTGAACCTTCTTGCATAGTCTCACACGTGAGCTTTTTGGGGATATCTCACATCCAAACCATAACAAGAAGTAATGAAAACAGCTCACACAGGCAAAGGAACACAGACTGATAAGACAGCACTCCTTGTGCGGATCCAGGTAGGTATCAATAAATACTGTTCGTCAGCTCTCTGTCACTTTAACAAAATACCTGCGAGAAAAGGCTGACTTTGGCTCACAGTTCTGAAGCTTCAGATCCAAGGTTAGTCAGACCTAGGCTCTGAGCCTCTGTTGGGCATTCCAGGTGGCAAATGCAGAGAAGGCATACAGGGCAAAATGGCTTCAATCGTGAGCCAGGTGCAAGAGAGAGAGAGAAAGGGACTAGGGTTCCTTTGCCCTCACCTTCTTCTTTGAGGACACATCCCAATAACATAAGGACCTCCAGTGGGCTCCTCCTCCTAAAGGTCCACAGCACCTCCTAATAGCACTGCCATGGGCCTGGGGGCGGGGGGGTACCCAACATCCAAACTAAGGGACTCGGGTGTAGTCCAGGGGTAGAGTGAGAGCTTGCCCTGCATGCACAAGCCCCAAGTTCAATCCCCAGCCCTGAAACCATAGCAGATGTTTACTAAATGGATGAATATTCCATTGTGGGGGTGGGAGACACAAAAAGATTGCCTTTCTAGATCTTAGAATGGGAAACTAATTTCTTGCTTTGGAAATGTGCTACCCTTTAATAAGCTGAATTTATATAACATAAGGAATAAAATAGTGGTGTTTTCCCCATGCAAATAGCTTCTTAATATCCTGACACTTGCACCATTTGTATTTGAGGGGTGACCTGGTAAATGTTACACAGCAGTATTGATAACAGGAATAATTACCCAAATGGCTAATTTGAAAGCCACTCTCTACCTTATAGATTTTAGTTCATATTCTAAAAATTCTGTGTTTTCTGGATAGGAATGTATTTAGACAAACCACCACCAGGGATATCATTCTCCCTCCCCCACCCCTGAGTTTAAACAGGGAAGTAAAATTTCACTAACTCCACAGAACTGCCTACAGTTTTCACTTTAAATTTTGAATTTTTTATTTGGACCACCTAGATTTTTCTCATTGGTGTGTATTTCTTCTGTCAATATTTAGTAGGAGTTGAAAGTTCTTGAATGACTCTTCTGTCTAGATCAGACTCCAGCTGTCAGTAACATAATAACTGTTACTTCCATGGTAAGTGAAGTTTGGTGGGTAAAATATATACCAATAAAGGACATTTCTTGGTTTGGGTTTGTCACAAAAGATCAAAGAGATTTAACTTTACATGACTAGATGATCTTTGAAAGACCATCAAGTCTTGATTACTTTGAACCATAACCATAAAATTAAGACGTAAAGCCTCTAAGTTTCCTGTAAAACTCAGTGGGGTTCTGGGGGTGTCATTCAGTGGTAGAGCTCACGCTTAGCTCTTAAATCCTGTGTTCCATTTCAGTCAAACCCATCTAAGCAGAATTCAGAAAGAAAGAAAATGCACACAGCCAACGTAACTTCCATCTACAATTGTTTTAATGATTTAAAAAAAAACGTTTACAAATAATTGCATTCAGGGACGGACTTTGAACCTAAATAGAAAAGTAAGACAAACTTCAACATTGATCTCTGGAAATTCTAATTTGGCCCACATTTCCTTCATACTGGCCTGGTCTTAACTAGGCCAATACAGGATAGGATTCTTCCTGAGAGTTGGCAAAGATGTCATATTCTACTTTTTTGTCCAGAAATTGACAACTGTGGCTTTCAAAAATAAAAACAAACAAACAACAACAAAATAATGAGAAAAATTTAAGTTATTATTAGTCTGAAACCATTTATGTACTCCTGAATAAAAACAAGTTTGGATTTGTGGAATTCACTTCTAGGCATCCTTTCTGCTCATCTGTTGGCCTGTGAAGACTTTCAGTGGAAGAAAGAATAGGTCAAATTCAGATATGTCCATTTCATTATTGTCAGCCAAGGGCGGGCAGCTTGAATTCAGAGCCCCAGGCCACATGCAAGCTGAAAAGAGTTTATCTGATGAGTCCAAATACGCCTCTAAAGAATCCTATCAGAGGAAAACAATGTTATAAATTGCTTATATGTCAAGTAAAAAACAAATTAAATATAGTTGCTCTAAATTGCTAATATAAAAATAGTTTCTGCTCCTATTCAAAACAGTTGCTTTAAAAAGTAGTAGATTTTAAAGAAAACTTATGTATCTGCATCTCCTTCCTGGATCAACCACCTAACTGCTGAGCACACACAGCCACACACACTGCTGCAATCACAGGAAGCCTGAAGAAACCATTTCCAAACCCACTTGCCTGCTACTGAGTTCTGTGTGGCTGGCCTTATGCCAGTACCACACCGATGCCCTGTACCTGGTCATCTTCCCATCAGCCTTTAATAATTCTGTGCCCACTTTTGCCTAAAAAAAATAAAATAAAACCAGGGAATACTTGGGTCAGATAACCTGCCAACTATTCTACATTGAAAGACTGCTCCTATTGGGCTGGGTCCATTTTCCTTGCACGTGTACTGTGCACAGGCGGCTGACCAAGTCTTCCCCCAACCCTTCCCAGGTGTCCTTCAGGGGCTAGACGGCTTGTCGTTGGGGCCAAGAAGAAGCTTGGCACCCTGCTTGTCGATGCTGGAGTTGATGCTGTCTGCATCCTTCTCCTGCTCAGGGACACAGGTGCAGCCCACTGGGATGGTGACGTAGTCCTCCATGTACACTGAGCGACCGCCCGCACAGGCAGAGGTCCGGCGCAGGATGACAGCAGGCATGTACACTGGGGTGCTTCGGAAGTGGAAGTCCTCCTCCCCAAAAAGCCCAGTCAGGCAGCCCCGGCACAAGCAGTAGGCTTCAGGCAGGTACCTAGGGAACCTTGCCGGGTCATAGGAAATTCTGAAAAGAGAGATTGAGGGATTAATTTGTGATTTGGGGGCAACTGACACACACATGGAGAAAGGACAGCTTCTACAAGGTTTGTGCTTCTGAGACCAAACGACAGAAAAAAGGTGGGAAGCATAGCAAACACTCTGTTGAGATTATTGATTAAATGAAATGGGTTGAGGAGGAGGCTAGGCCTTACATCTGATCTTATCATACAGTTAGTGTCAACTTGAGGCCCCCCGCTGAAATAGATACACTTGAGCTTTGTTATATTTTATTTTTTTTTATTTTTTTTTTTTAAAGAGAGAGTGAGAGAGGAGAGACAGAGAGAGAGAAATTTTAATATTTATTTTTTAGTTCTCGGAGGACACAACATCTTTGTTGGTATGTGGTGCTGAGGATCGAACCCGGGCCGCACGCATGCCAGGCGAGCGCGCTACCGCTGAGCCACATCCCCAGCCCTGCTTTGTTATATTTTAAATGCTGAAGACAGCATTTATATCTATTCTTGAGCCAACCCATAAAATTAACCTAAAGTCTGCAATCATGTAAATAGAAAAAAAAAAAATTCTAGGCAGCCTGCACATGCACAGGGGCCAATGGAATAGAAAGAGACCCAGTGTCTGCTTGGGGCCGCCTCTGGGGCCTCTCCACCAGCCAGTCACAGAAGATGCGCAGGCTGGTACAGAGGCCACGAAGGGGAGACACTGATGCAGAACCACAAGCAAAGGCAACTGCAGGACATCTGTGTTGAAGTACACGGTGACTGTGTCCATCTGTCTGTTGGGGTCCATATGCCTTTCTGTTTGAAGGAACCCACATGGCACAAGGAGAGGGCAGGACTGGCTGGCCTGGGATATTCAAAAACTGGTTTAAATTGGATAAATTTCATTCTCCTTCTGGGCTTCCTATTTTGGGATCAAATGCCAAGAACTGAGTGTCAGTACCTCTGGAGCAGCCTGGGCCAGGTGCCAAGGAATGAGCTGGTTGGCTGGGCCAGGTGGCTTCCTGGGAGGAGGCAAAAGTAGCACCAGGCTGCCCTCCACAATCCACCTGAACAGCCCTACCAAATCAAACAGGAGCCCAGGAGACCTCAGGAAGCTCCCTTTATAGAAGTAAGCACTGTTCCCACTTCTTACTGGACTGCCATGACCCTCATTTCTTGTTCCAATAATCTGCCCACTTAAAACATGGGCAATCCTCTTATGAATCCGCTTCTCTTTCTTCAGGGACAGAGTCCTAGAGATCCTAAAATCCCACAACCACAGTCTTTAACTTCTCTCACCTGCTTGGCAATATACATATACTTGAGGACCCACAATGTGCCAGCCCAGGAAGACTCACAAGACCCTACAGCAGCCTCTCAGCTCAGTGGGGCCTGGGGAAGGGTAGACAGATGGGTTTGCAGATCTTTCCACCCTAACCCCAAGATGTGCAGGTTGTGCCATCTGGTTCCAGACCCCAACCGGCTCAACACAGACGGTGCCACAGCAGGGCACTAGAGTGCCTGCCTCAACCTGACCCGCCCCACCTTGCAGTGTCCTAGGAATCCTGAGGACTCTTTTTCATCTAGCTCCTCACTACTAAAAACTGTGACTCAGAGAGGTTTCCAGTTAGAAAGTACATTCAGAGAACCCAGACTAAAGGAGGAAGAGAGACCAGTGACAGGTCTGGGGGCTGATGAGTGCTGAATAGAGGTGACGGTGGGTCTGCAGAAAGAAGGAACTGGAGGGCAGATACTGCCCACTTAGCTTGGTGTGGGCCAGAAAGCTGGGGGTGGAGGCTCGGGGTAAAGGAGTTCCTGCTAGATGTAGAGCCCCTTTGACTCCCTTCCTATGCTGTTCTAGGGTGCAGAGAGCCCAGATGAAGGCTCATAAAGGGGTGCAGGGGACAGTGCAAAATGCAAAAGTTGTCTAACATAAACAACATTTTTTTGTCCACTTATTCTTCCCTCCACATGCACATGAATAGTTGAAAGGGTACTTTTTATGCTCCTCCCCACTACTGTTTTTTTCTGTGATTTGGAAGCATAATGAGCCTAGAAAATCCTTGCCAGGACTGAGGAAACCATCCCCCCTAGTCTTCCAGGGTTGTGAGCCTCCTGACATCCCCCCTTAGTACCTCTCCACTGGAATGTACCCATCACTCAAACCCTGTGCTTTGCTTTCAAAGGCCACCAGATTGGTCCTTACCTCCCTCACTGTCTTCTCTTTCAAGCCTCCTATACTCTGGGAGTTCCAAGGGGAATGTTCCTCACATCCCACAGCTAAGTTCTGCTTAAGGTCCTTTTTCCCCCCAAACCAGTAACAATTTACTGAATTCTTGCCTATTCGGTGAATTCAGGTCCAATTCAAATCATTATCTTAAAGGTTTCCAAATTTCCTCAGGAGAATTTAAATTCTTTCTTCATATCCTTGTAACATGACTGGCGATGCAGCTCTGTGATAGAGCACTTGCCCAGCATGTGCAAGTCCCCTGGCTTCAATCCCCATCACCACGAAAAACAAAAACCTGTCCATGTTCTTGTAACACGTGGTGCCTCTGGACAGAACTCTATGTTGTCTGTCTGCCTGTAACAAAGACTCAGTCTCTTTACTTTTGCCTGAACCTCTGCCTCCATTTTGCATCGGTCTCTTTTGCTATGAGTTGCCTTGGATCCTAGGAACAACAGGTCCATTATGGTGGTGTCCTTTCAAAAGCTCACATGTGAGTTAATGCAAGAAGGTTCAGAGGTGAAATGATTTAATGATGAGCACTGTAACCCAATCAGTGGACTAATCCCCTGGTAGAGATTAATTGGGTGCTAACCCTAGGTAGGCAGGGTATGGCTGGAGGAGGGTGAATACTGGGGGAGTGGGGGGCATGCCTTTGAGGTTTATATTTTGTCTCTGGTAAGCACAACTCTCTGCCTCCTGGTGGCCATGTCCTGAGCTGCTTTCTTCCTTCCCACTCTTCTGCCATGATGTTTTGCCAGACCTCGGGCCCAGAGCAATGGAGTTGGCCGTCTATGGACTGACACCTCTGAAACTATAAGCCCCAAATAACTTTTCCTCCTTACTTTGTTCTTGTCAGGTCTTTTTGGTCACAGAAACAAAAAAGCTTACTAAAACAAGTTCTGATTGATAAACATCTTGTAATATCCTGGAACCACTCCCCAGGCAACAGTAGCTGTCGTATCACCAAACTGCACAGTCGGATAAGAATGGACAGTTCATGCCTGATCAAGATCATCTGCTTTAGTAGCTGCATAGGACCTCTGGCTATGCAAAGCCCCAATCTTTGCCCTCATTTCTCTTTCTATTAACATCAAAGTCATTGTCAGTCCCCTGCAGACAGGGCTAAAGTTGTGGGTCCCCTCATTTTCCTAGTGTAACTGTACTGATTAAAGTTTTTTTCCTGCTTTTCACCACTACTTTTCTGCTTAGTGTTTGGGGCAAGCGGCTGCACCTTATTTGTTGGACCCCAGAGTCAGGCCTCTGGCCTAGGATTCTGGTAACATGCCCTGGACAGAAAGGTCAGACTGTGTGGTCATTTCTCCTCTTTTCCTCCTGGCCCATTCCAGCCTGTCTGCAAAGGAAGAGTCAGGAGCTGGGAGCTGTCTGCCTGTGTTGGCTTCTGACCTCACAACCCAAGGTCAATTCAAGACCTTAACTCAACATTTGAAGGAAAGAGATTTATAGTTAGTATTCACAATATCACTTTCAACATTTATCCACTGAATATCTGAGGGCTTTTTCAGGCAGTAGGGATACAGACAAAACACATACCCACTCTCCAAGATTCACAATCTGGAGGGAGACAGACTAATAACAGGAGTTCACCTGGCCTGTGAGAGGCTTTAGGAAGAGGTGGCTCTTGACTGGATTTATCTACATGAAGAAATGAGAAAGAGCCTTTGGGGTGGAGGTCCAAGTACAGGATAGAGGGAGTAGGTACAGGGGGGAGGTACAAGTTGAGAAGGTCACAGGGATGAAGAAAGCTGCGCCCTGTCAGGAATGCACATCCCTCAGGAATTCTGGTCGGACCCTGAAGGCAACAGGACGGGAAATGACCTGATGAGATGTACGGTTAGAGAGATCCCTTCATCTCTGGGGAGGAACAGCATCTGGGGCCCAAGAGGGGGATCTTAGCTGAAGCTAATTTTGAATTACTGGTATACAGATGGTGACTAAGAGAGGACCATGTAAGGGAGAACAGAAGGAGCAGAGGTCACCAACTTTGAGGGGAAGAAATCTGAGTGTGGATCCTGTGACATCCTTGAGGCCAAGAAAGGCAGAGGATGGAGAGAGAGGTGGTCAAAAGCTGAACTTGAATTGGAACCAGTTTATCAGACATGGGGATGGAAAGTCTTAGACTGTATGTCATTACTCTAACAATGTGCCTGGGATTGGGTAATACATAAAGAATTTAGTTCATGGTTCTCGAGACTGGGAAGCCCAAGAGCTGGGAGTTGGTCTCTTCTCAGTATCTGGGGAGGGCCTCATGCTGCATCATAACACAGTGCAGGGCAGCACATGGTGAGACAGAGCAAGGGCACCCACTCAAGTCTCTCTTCCTCTTCTTATAAGGAAGAGGAAGCCCCAGGAAGCCCCACCTCGTGACCTCATCTAACCCACTTCCAAATGCTATCAACCTGTGAGTTTGGGAATTAAACTTCCAACAAATGAACTTTGGGGAACACTTTCAAACCACAGCAAAGCAATATGAAGGTGGGAAACTTGATAGGATTTCCAAGAGGAAAAACTAGGAGGGAACCTACATATTAAAAGGGCTTGAGAAAGGGACACAAACCCCAGGAGCATCACTGCCCTGGTGCAGTGAAGACCCATGGAGCCTCTGCCCTTTCCCATGTGTTTCTGTCTCAGGAATCAATTATTTGGTTGCTTTAAAAACCTATCAAATCCAAACTGAGGCACATTCCACAAAACAACTGACCACTGTCCTGGGGCAGAGAAGAGGCATTAGGAGGGCACTTTGAATGAAGTCTGCAGATTAGATGACAGGGTCCTATC